ACACACTGTAGTTTAAATTCAGCTGCACATGAAGTGCTCAAGTGCTGACAGTAATCATTAGTCAACAGTGGAGGCAAAGAAAGAAAAAGTATTTAAGTGCTCCAGAAAATAAAAGCATGCTTGCTTGCATCAGTGTAAGTATTGACGGTAAGTAAGGGTTATGTAGTCTAAGAGTCTCAGGGTCAGTATTTGTTCAACAAAGATTTATTGAGTACCTAATCATTTCCCTTTATTTCATTAATATGTATTTGTCCTATCAGCAAGGATTTAAGTTGGCAGAAACTGTTATTATCCAAGCGTGGTGCTAAGTATTGGAAACAAAGAATAAGATACATTTCTTGCCTCCATGGGTCATGTTTTTTGGGAATGTGAATTTGTAGGGAAATAAACTCTTGCTCTCATCCAGTGGGTCTGAATAGAAATACTCTCATTTCAAATAAATATTTTACATAAAAAATGTTCTCAAGGGTTACAAGCCTGGCCAATAATGCAGGAACCAAATAGGAAAGAAAAAAAAAACTGTCCAGATTGTATATAAGTGAAATGCAAATTTTTGATAAGGAATAACTAGTACTATGTTTATAAGAGTGGCAAAGGAGTTTTAAAGATACCCCCACCAAGCACCTCATGTTCTCTTGTTTGAAATATTATAGTTTCTTATCCTTCTTTAGTATAAAGTCACAAAGCAAGCCACTAGAGCCAAAAGAAAGCACAGCTCTTAATATCATGGGACATCTAATTTATGTTCTAATAGTAATACTATGTATTGGTAAAATGAATACACTTTTAACAGGTTTGCATTTTTGATAACACAGACAGGGATTATTTGTGGCCACACACATACACACACAAAATCCAGGTCCAGGGTGGCAAACTTAGAATCTGCACATCAAAATGTATTTGCCAACCGTGTTTTCTATGTAGGCTATTAACAAAACTACATAGAAACTACATCTAAAAATATATAGTATTTCCCAAACCCCTAAATGTTACCTATAATCAGTTTTTAAAAAACAGTAGAGGAAAAGCAAAACTGATGAAATCAAGGTAGTAGGTTTTTAAAAATTAATGATAATTTGATTGCTGAATGTAGGTAGCATGGGAAAGGTTTTCCCAACCCTTGGTTTAAAAAACAATGTCCAGGTGAAAACACAAAGGCAGTGAGAATTAACCACTGGGGAAAAAAGGTCCAACAGGCAATGCTTACATTGTGATGCTAGCAAGTGAGGCAGGGATCTCGAGAGGGTGCCTGGGTGCTCACACTGCATACGGAAGGTGCCAGGATGACCTTCACCTTGGCATCTCTTCAGCCCATGTCGGTGTTTCTGTGAGGAATCGTGTACGCTTTTAGCACAACAGGGAAGGGCTCTGTCTTGGAGACCTCACTTGACAAGGACCCCTAGGGAACCCCACTGTACTTCAGAGAGCCAGAAAAATGCTTATCAAATTAAAAACAACTAGAATAGAGAATCCTATTACTCTTGAGACTAAACCTATGAGGAGAAGGGATCTTAATAGTTGTCTAGCCCAAGTCCAATCTAAGAGTCCCTTTTTCATAGCATTTGGGGTAGATGGGTTATTTTAGCTTTTGGGCATTTGCAGCAACTGGAAATTTTACTATTTGAGTCCATTCTTTAGAACAGCTCTTACTAGAAAATTCATTCTTATATTGAAGTAAACATCTGTCATCCATAAAATTCCTCTTTTTGCCCTTTGAAGCTACACTGAGTAAGTAAGTCCAGTTCCTCTCCCTTCTTATAGCTCAACAGAGATTTCAAGGCAGCTATTATATTGTTTCCTCTTTTTCTGCACTCCCTTTCCAGCTCTGCCTTCTGTTCTTCAGGGGAACCAGTCCCCTGTTCCTTGTATAATCAGACTCTTCAAACCCTGGCCACCTGACTCTGGACACAGTTTATTAATCTCTTAAAATATGGTACCCAGAATTGAACCCAACCCTCTATCCAGATGTGGACTGATTAGTGCAGCATGCAGGGCTCCTTGGGCTTCTGTTACCACAGGTTGAATGCATTAGTTTTGTGAATACCCATGATATACTTCTGATTCAAGATGGAACTCAGATTTCCCTAAGAAAACATTTCTACAAAAACTGTGAAATCAGGACTTTGCAACATCCTTCACACCAACACACACATCCATACACACATAGGTACACCACTCTGTACTTAGGGGTTGCATTTAAGAAACTCAGGATATAGAGTTTCTCATTAATGCTTATTCAATTTCATCCTTTTAGTTTCAGTCTCATGCTCAGGTATCTCAAAAAATTGTAATGGTTTCTGTATCCTAGTGTCAACACATAGAATGCAACGAATATTCACTGAATGAATTAACCCCGAATCTGCCAGTCAGCAGACTAGATATGTCTATTTCTGTGTCATCTGATCAGCATGCTTTCTGTTCCCATTACTCTGTTCTTCATGGGAGAAATAGGAAAGCAGATAAAAGCTGCCTTTAAATTGTTGAGCTGGTATCCCCGTTGGGACAGCCGATGTGGTTCCTTGCATGCTAAGAAAACAAGGTACAAATAAGAAGCAGATTTACAGACTGTGAGCAGGAACAGATGAAGAGAAAGAATAGGGAGTGTCCTCAATTCTTGGAATCAGGACTTAGTTCCCAACGTTAGGAAAAATATCCCCCCCCCCACCCTGAAGTCTTTTGCCTTTTAGATCTAGTATAATACTGTGATTATCAAACTCTGAAAAGCTCATACAAGCTTAGTTTTGAAACAGCTTTTAAAATGACCTTTTCAACTTATATTTCCTGTATATTTGAGTTAAAGAGACATGCAGCTGTCTGTTGGCTATGAGGTATACAGAGAGCTCCCAAATGCCCCTGACAAATGTAGCCATTTGTTTCAGGAATCAGAAATGGCCTACATTTTTCAGTGTGAATTTAGAAATTGACTGAGATTGAAGCTGTCTCCTGAATTGAATATGATCTTACAATGAATGTCCCTTTTCCCCCAAATGAAGAAAAATAAGCTCAGTTTTTCTTTCCCTTCAGCAGCCACTCTTTGCAGAATGTGGGGCTAACCACAGAATTTATAAGTGTCCTATTGAGCCTTTTTTCCATTGTCTATTGTGACTCAGAAAAAAAAAGTGTTTCAATCAAAACAATCTAGAACCAGGAGGGAAACAACTCAAAAACTTTGGTTGCATAGTGTTAACACTTGAAGAGTGGAGAAAGGCCTAGCAGACCCAAAGAGGAGACCAACTCTGTGCCTCTTCTCAGCGTTTTCTAGAGGGAGTGGCAGAGATGGGGTCTTAGTTAATTAAGTTCTCAGGACTGTTTTCCAGAAACTGATGTTAAGTGACAGGTGAACATCAGAGGGATGTCCCCACACTGATGTGGGAGTTTCTTTTCCTGATTTTATCAGTCACAACAAACCACACCCAAGTGCTGTGAGACAAATGGAGTGGAGCAGAGGCTTAATTACACTGTAAGCCCCCAGAGTCAGGTGACCCAGGTGCTTCGGGCATGATGAGAGCCTCTCCAAAGGAACCACCTTAGGGTATCCTGTTAAAATACAGGTAACTACAAACAGGAAGGTCCACCGTGCTGTTCCCAGTATGGAGTAGCCATGGTAGGTACTGACTTGAGCTTCAGCTATTCAAGAGGACATCCTATCGTGACTCTTGGGTCGGGCCCCCCTGCAGGAGGGCTTTGTCACTGGACCCCACACTCCTTGGGATTTTCCATTTCATCTCCTTCAAAGTCTGGCTTCAAACTGTGTTTTTGCTCAATTTCCACCTGTCAAGAATAGAAGTCGGAGAGAAATATCAGAAAAACATCCCAACAAATCAGTAAACTGAAAGAGACTACCTCACTGGGTTCTTGGAGATTCCCTGTAATTTGGTTAATGTTTCGGGCTTTAGCCACATGAAGCTAGGGCCCTGGTACATTATGGCTCTGTCTTTGTACATGCCCTTTGCGTAGTCTGGAATCCCCTCTCCCCCTCAGTCCACCTGGAAAATTCTTATTCTTGGCCTTTCACAGTTGCTTAAACGTCACCTCTTCTGTGAAGCTATTCTTGACTCATCAGGTGGAGTTAGGTGCCCCCCTGTGCCCTGTATTCCCACCTGGCTCCTCTACACCAGGCCCTGCAGGGCGGGGCACGCCCTGGTTAACTGCTGCACCCCAGTGAAAGGCACACAACAGGCAAGCACAAAGGTTTAGCAAATAAAAAGGATTTCTTTGAAATTGGCTGTTGACACTCTCTATTACCGTATTTCTTTAAAAAGTCTCCCAACAGATAAGTATTGTGCTGTGTACAGTTCTACCTGCATCCTCTGCCAAATGCTATAGCTGTAACAATAAAAGGATTAATAAATTAATCTTGCCTTGAATGGGACGCACCTCACCTGAAGCTTTCGATAAATCAGGCAGGGAGTCCTTTGAGCTAGGCAGTTTCATAATGAAAGCTGCTCCTCTCAGTACCACTTTGGGTTTTTATGATGAGGGGAACAATTCACGACAAAACAGGGTCAAGTCTGAGGAAAGTGCTGTGGTTTTTTTTTTTTCTGGCCACAAGATGGAGTATTTGTTCTTTTGGGTGGTTTAATGTTTTAGATCACACAACTAAGGAAATATTTAAAGAACAATAAATAACCGTATAATTCTAAGGGTATTATTATGAGTAGAAAATTACTAAACCACTTGGCCAAACCCTTCTTCAGTAAACCCCCATTTTCCATCTTTGGCATTTAATCTTCTCCTGTTGAATTTCTAACTCCTCAGGATATAATCACTATTTATGTCAGAACTTTGCAACTTCACTTCCTCCTTCACAGCCCTGATCCCATTACTGTTAGAGAAACTTGCTTGGCTTTTGAGTTTTGTCCTGTTACAGCCCAGTGACCAGGTCATATGTGTCTTAACTTCACTCAGATCCATTTCATCAGTGCCTGTGGCAGTATATACTTTGGTTTAGCACTTTCCTGACCTTCCCTCCACTCCCTTGCAACGTGAATTATACGATGAATGAGTAAAATAATCCTTTCCCCCCACTACTCTTTTGTTGTTGTTGTTCATGATGACTGAAAGCCATTATATTCTCTTCTTCCATCAGCCTCTATTATTTTTCCAGCCTTTCTCCTGCCCACTAGTGAGATCATTTGTTTAACTCAGAGCAGATTCATCACAGCTATGCATGGTGAACTGCCTCTGAGGACGTGCGAGAAGACCTTGCACCCTGGGCAGGCACTGCTGAAAGGAATGAGAGGGGGGAGGGTACGGGGTGAACAAACAGACTTGAAAGCATCAGCCAGCTGCCTCCAGAGGCTACCTTGTAGCTGTAGTGTGCGGAATAATTGACCCACTTCCTGACATCGGTCTTGTCTTCCACAGAGATGGATCTTACGGCAGCTTTGGAGGCAGAAGTCGTAGGCATGCTGAACTCGACATTCACGTGATTGGCAAATCTGGAAGGCACTTCCCGGTCAGAGCCAAGTTCAAGGTGGCAGAAGAAACAGTGTGGGTGACCAGAGGCTATGAAAGAAAGGTAGAGAATCAGGAATTCGGGTTCTTTGGGGGGAAGGTGGGGAAAAAAGCCTCAATAAGGGAGAGCCTCCAAATAAGAGAGGCCTGGCAGTCTTTAAGAGGGTCCAGTGCTGAGCAGAGGATTTGCTGCAGCAGCAGTCACACTGCATGTGCCTCAGACCCTTTGATATCACGCTGTCTGATGACAGTAGCCTGGTATCCTAGCAGTAAAACCCATGGCCTGGGAAACAGGTCCTTCTGCCTGCTCAGGTCAGAGTGCTGTGTGAACACAACACAGATACTAAGAAATGGAGGTTGTAGATTGACAAAAGGAATAAAAGGGATCAGTACTTATTAGCACCTAATAAAACGTCAAAGACAGCCACCTGGAATAGTCATCCATTTCCTTTGAAAGATGAACTGAAGGAAGGAATTGAAAAAAAAAATTTTTTTAATCTTTTTTAGGAGGGGGGCAATTGGGTTTGTTTGTTTGTTTGTTTATTTTAATGAAGGTACCAGGAATTGAACCCAGGACCTTGTGCCTGTTAAGCATGCACTCTACCGCTGAGCTATACCCTCCCCCCAGGAATTGAAATTTCTTAATAGAATGTCATACTTTTTTAGAAACATGCTTTTTGGGCGAATGGCATATGCAAATGGCAAAGCCCTTGGACTAAACAGCGCCTGTGCATGAGGGAGCACAGGGACCGCCGGAGAGAACACGGGAAATAGGACACCTGGGCTCGAGCTGCAGCTCTCCCCAGTGGCACAGAGCCCAGCCACCCAAGTCCTTTGTTCTCTCCAGGCCTCAGGTCCTCATCTGAGAAGCGGGGAGCTGGGGGTGGTGGGAAAGGGTGGGCTGGACAGTGCCAGGCGTCGTCCTTTACTGCTACTTGACTCCATAAACCTGTGGCTGGTTCTACTATATCCCACAGGCAAATGTACGGTGTGATCTTCCTTTGAGTATTTTTACTAGATTATCCAATCAGAGCTTAGTTCTGTGACTGTCACCATTGAAGCCGCATCTTCATCACTCATCAGATACAGCAGGAAGCGTTTGTTGAGAACTCTGTGGCAAGGACTGTGCTCAATGCTTATGCAGATTCTCTCACTGCATCTTCACTCCAGTCCCTTGAGGTCCTAATTATTAACATCCTACAGATGAGGAAACGAAGGCTTCAGGAGGTAAGGTGAACTTGCCCAAGATCAGAGCTAGAAAGTGGCAGCCCTAAGAACTGGACCCAGCAGTCTGACCTCCCTCATGTTCTTAACTGATTTATCTGAGTCATAACCTCACAGTCCTCAGACCTTAAGGTTTGCAGTGTGACAGGGGTGGAGAGAAAGGCAGCTGTAAGAACCCCCATAAAGCAACTCAATATGGAGTCAACTCAACGTGACATGGCTCTGACTTCATTATGTAACTGCAACAGCCCTTAGTTATCTGACTTTCCCCGAATAAACAATTCCCATTTCCTTTATTGGTCTGGGCAGGACTTTTTAATCTCAGAGAGTGAGGACATACACACCCGCTCTCCAAGGAAAACATTACAGAGTAAAGTATTTGTTTTGCTCTGTTTCATAAATGTAACATATTTCAGTGGTTCTTTCTAAAGTATAATACTTCGGTGAATTAATTGAAAAAATTGCAGTGATTTTAGAAAGGAATTTAAGTTAGATACATGTAATAGTAAAAATTACACTGTTTGAAAATGAACCCATTCAGTTTGTTTTTTTAATTGTGTACCACAGATATAATTATATAGCCATCACTTACTGAACATTTATTATAGGCCAGAGATGGTGCTAAATACTTAAAAGCATTATCTAATTTCATTCTTAATGAGCTAGGTATTAATAATCCTATTTTATAAAAGAGGAAACAGATTTCTCTGAGAGGTTTAAGTAAATTGCCTGAGGTCACACAGCCATTAAATTATAGTATTGGGAATAAAAGTCATCTCACTGGCTCCAAATTATGACTAGACTCCTCTCAATATATTGCTATAGATTTAGATCACTACAAAGTATATAGAGGAGTTTGTTAATTTAATTCAGTAGCAACCTGAAAATTTTTTATCTAATTACCTTTTTTTCACACATTGTTGGAATATTGAGAAACCATTATTTTCCACAGAACTGACCTCCCTCCTTTTCTCACTCCACCAAAGCGTATTCTGTGAAATTCTTTCTTGAATCCAAGCATCAGTAATGCATGTGTAGAGCTGGTGGACAGACAGGGAAATGCAGTTTTTGAAACCTAGTATAGTTTAATTCATGGTAGCAAACTAATGAGCCCATGCATTGTGTCATCTTCCTTGATAAAACTGAGAAAATTTAACATTAAAATTCAGATTTCTCTTCGAGTTAGAATTTTCTCCAGATATATGCCCAGGAATGGGATTGCTGGATCATATAGTAACTAAAATAGATAAACAACAAGGAAAGACCTACTGTATAGCACAGGGAGCTGTCATCAATATCTTGTAATAACCTGTAACAGAAAAGTATCTGAAAAAGAATATAAAGAGATACATATATATATAGGTATATATATGTATATAACTGAATCACTTTGCTGTACACCTGAAACATTGTAAATCAACTATACTTCAATAAAGAAAGAAAAATTAACTCAGATTTCTGTTTTCCGTAAGAGGGGAATCATACTGGAATTGTTTTCTCTTCACCTGGTCTAATGAGAACTGGAATTCCAGCAAAGAAAGCTACCTATGCAGGATAGAATGTTTTGTTTCCAGGGAGGACTTGTTCTGGTGCCTTCTAGGATTAAGGAAAGCTGTTGGGATTAGGGTGGGAGGGGTCCTGGGAGAGCACAGACAGAGGGCCCTGCTGGCAGGAGCCATGTTGGAATCCAGTGGCGGTTTGTTAGTCTTTCGGTGGTTTGACTGGGATCAGCCTGCTGTGGCTGCAGGATTGAGATGCTGGCCAAGCCGAGGGTGCTGACCTGCTGGCCCAGGCTGCCCCGCGGTCTGACCGTCCAGCCTGCTGGGGGCTAGGGTTGTAGGGCCACTGCAGGCGGGAGTAGATGTGCAGTCCTCTTTCACTGTAAATGGAGATGTGAGGGTTATGAAAACTAGCCTGTAAAAGGCACCCTCCCTAATCTGTCTCAAGACCAAGACAGAAGAGCTCAGAGGAGGAGCAATTAATAACAGATCATCGTCAATTCTCTGGTTTCATGGATGGAGCACTGGATGGGGAGGGCGGGGACTGGGCACAGAGAAGACCAGCAATGGTAAGAATCTGCAGTCTGCCTGGAATTCGGATCCTGTACATCTTGGGTTTCCAGAAAAACGTACTATTAATTTCCTGAACCGATACAGAAATACATACCATTGGCCAGAAGTAGAATAAGCAGCTCTTTTGAGGGGTTTCACTTCCAAAAATACGTAACCATGACAGCAAAAACAGTAATGGGTCGGGGGGAGGATTAATTGAGAACCATCCCCAGATATCCTTATGCCATCCTGTATTTGAAAAATCGTTCACAAATAAGGTTCCAGTAATCTGGAAATACGTATGTATTTAAGCTTCATTTACTTGGCCTTAAGCCTCCTGAACACTGCCCCGCTGAGAAGCAGTGCAGAAAGTGATTGCTGAGGACTTGTTATTCATTCCCTGCCCTGCAACCATTCCCCCTTTCTTCTGTTAAAAATCTTACTTGTATTTTTTTCCTTGGAGAAAGAATCTTCCCCAGCACTGCATGACATCTTGGTGGTCATGTCGGTCAAATGCCCGTCCTCGCTTCGGCTCTTAAGCCAGGTGGCACAAGGACAGAAAATGGCTCATGATGATTTGTCCCAGTGGCTGCATCCTGAGGAGACGTCCCCAGTTCCTGCTGTCAAGAGCGAGACTTTCTGAAGCCTGCTTGTACCTTCAGTTCTCAGAGCTACCTACATCTTTCCAACAATTTATTTTCTTATTTGTGCTGAAAGAAGCCAGTCAGTCTTTGCTGCTTATAATCAAAAACCCCTCCTATGGTACTTTGAAATATTTGAGAGAAAGAACTTTGAAACACATGAGGTCTCTGTGTACACCCTGAGAAAACTGCAGATCTCTGCTCTTATACTGGGAACAACTTCAAGTTTGTGTCTGTTTTGTGTCATCTACTAAGAAGCAGCTGTGCAATTGAGGAAAAAGACCCCTGGATGTGACTTCAGACAAGTCATGTCACTCCCAGTCCTTAATTTTCTCATGCGTGGAATGAAGAGTGACTAAGCTATCCCCAAGGTCCTTTCCAGCTTAAAAACACAGTTATTCCATAACAGAGTGATCTGAATCCGTGCTTAGAAAATTGAAGAGCTAAAAATTCTAATAAGCAAACCTGAGGCCTTGTCTTTTCTGATGTCAAGTCTCTACCAGGTTAAATGGTAATTTTCTCCCAGTCACCTCAGTCCTCTTCTCAAGGGCATCTGTGCCAAAGGACAACTGAGAGTTTCTCCTTTCTGCCATCAGTTCCGATGGGCCCTGGGGCGGAGGCAGAACTCACCATGCTATCACCAGGAGGACACAGTGCTGACTACAGGGACACGAATAAGCAAGCACAGAGAGGAGACTTTGTCTTAAAAATTCTGTCTGTTTAGAAACGGGGGGAGGCAAACCCAGCCTCAAACACAGAGGTCCAATTGTCTCTCCAGTCTGCACCGCTACACCCCGTGTCTGACACAGCAAGCCCTGCTGTGTGGCCACTGCCTGGCCTGCCCGGAGAGCTGCCCGGATCGTATTGCCTCTGGCCGTCGCCTTGTGTTGCACGTCGGGTAACACGGCCACTCCATGCTCAGAGCAGGACATGAAGACTCTAAACATACTGTTAGGACTTAACAGAGTGGAAAGGAAAGTATCTACATACGAGAAAGACATTTCAATCGAGCGCTTTTCGAAACCTAATTTTTTTTGGCTGGTCAGGATATCCACTTTTGTTCATAGATGGGCAAATGTATTATAAACAAGAAGGGAAGTGGTTTAAGGGATCACAGGATCCTGGGCTTATTGCCTGCCCTTGGGCTCACCCAGACTTACCCTAAGAAATAAAATTGTTAGAGCTGGCTTGATTACGCCCTAGTTTTGTCATTTCCCCAAATCTCAGTGGACCCATGGGGAATGTCACTGCCTTCTGGGCTCACACATGCACACGAGCACCCCTGACAGCTGTGAGCAGGCCAGCTGTGGCTGATAAACTGTCTCTTTTGTTTAAATTAAACATTCCTTCCCTTTTTACCTAATAGGATTTCAGCCCTTTTGGACCTTCATGTCCTGAATGGATCATCAGTCTGATCGGAGGGCCCTTCCCCATCCCCAAATCCCAGCTCTGAGCTTGGGAGGTTGTGACTGACAGGCCTTGCCCAGGGTGTCTGGAACCATAAACCTAACTCCTCACCTGTACTACACACGTGATTGGCCATAAGCTGGCCCTTTTACCTATACTCAGGGCACAGTTAGAAAGACAAAACCCAGAAACCTTCTAGGATCCGGGAAAGGATTCCAACACCAGATAATACTTTAACGAGTCAGAAAATAATACAAATTCGTAAGCTGCCCTGGAAATCTGCATAGTAGCTCAGACGAGAAGAATAATGCATTGTTTTATGGAAGAAGTGTGATGATAAGGGAGTAAAAAGATGGAGTGAACTGGGTCATGCATATTTGTTACTTACTCTGCCTATTATCTTTGCTTTTCTGGTCCCCCTGGTCCCCACCCTCCCCATCACCATTGCTGACACAACAAACACCAGCATTTCATGGGAGAACAGAATGTGGAAATTTGATCCCAGCTCTTTGGCCACCAGGCGGCTGTTTCACAGTAGAGAAATCTCTACCCACCTGAGTTTTTGTCAGGCAGTCGGTTTATCCTCCACACAATGGAGTTGAAGGCATGCTCGTACTTGGCCGTTCCCAGAGTTACTCTCATGACAGGCTCAGAGCCAGAGACACTAGTGGAGCCAAAACTTGCCCCCCGGTTCACTTTGGCTTTCAAAGACTTTTCCCCCAGGACGCTTTCCCTGCGGAAGTTCTTCACCCACTCACTGGGCACCGGGTAGCGAACCATCACATTCTCACAGGGAACCTGAGTGAGAGGGTCGCAGTTGGAGGAGAAGCCGGTGGACATCCGCAGCCAGCTCTGCACCTCCACCTCTGCCCCATTGACACTTGCTGCCGTCCTGAGTGTGAAAGGCAAGGTCTTCTCAGCAAATACCGTCCTGAACCGCATTAGCTCAAACCGGCAGGCGTCCAGAGGGTTGAATAGGATAACCCGTGAGTTGTTGAACACATCCTCGTCCACACACCCGTGAAAATGGCACTCGTGCAGCTTGATCCACTTGGTGGTGGTGGTGGGCATGATGTCTTGCCGGGAGACGATTTCGTTCCCCTTGACAAGGACGTCATTGAGACCCAAGCGGCACTCCGCAAGGCCAGAGAGGAAAGTCAGGATGTGGATCCGTGTCAAGACGTGGTGCTGGAGAATCTGGTTGTCTCCTTTACTCACAAGGCCAGAGAATTCATCTCTGACATCCACTGTAATCTCCTCTTCAAGGTAGTTCAGGCCAACTGTGCTCAAGTCCATGGATGACACCGGCAGATCCATGAGATGGTCCTGAACTGCACGGATGAAGCTCAGGAAGTCATCGTAACTAGTGGTACCCAGCTTAATCACCTGCTCCCTCTCCGCTGTGTGGGCCACAGCAGGCTTAGGCTGGTATTTTTTCTTCTCCTTGTAGGTGACGCGGTCTATCCGCAAGCTGTGGATCCTGCCATTCTCATCATAGTTCTGGAGCCGTGGTTCTGAGATCTCATGGCAAGGCTCCAGCTTGAACTCACGGAATGGTTTTTCTAGGCCCTGCTCGTAATACAGCTGCAGGTAACCGCTGTCCGTTAGTTTGATGTAGATGGGTCCCCAGTGCCTGGAGGACATGATGTTTTTCTTCTCAGGGATCCTTAGCATCATGGGCCACCCATCTCTGGGCTGGGATGGTGCAGAGCCTGATGGGTGGTCATCTAATTCAATCCAGGCTATGGGGTCATCATCAGGAAGTGTTGCACTACCTAAGTGATCAGGATCCTCAATTTGGAGTCGTTTGAGTTTTTCAACAGCATCTGAGTGTGACTGGTTTTTGCTTGAATCATCAAAACTGATGGCATCCTGGTAGATGACAATGAGGGAATCTCTTTGGCTTTTGCCCGTGGTACCAGAAATGGAACTGTTTTGGGAGCGCCTCTCCTGCTCCTCAAAGAAAGCGATGAACGGGTTGATAGGGGAGGGCTGAATATCCTGTAGAGTCTCATTCAGAAAAGGATTGGTTGCTCTCCACGGTGGAGCCTCAGGCACGGAAGGTGGATGGTTCAAGGAGGAAATGTCCAGCTTCTGGACTTTGGAGAAGTTCATCAACGTGCTCTTGGGACGCTCCCTCTTCTTAAAGGACTCAGTTGAGTTATAAGGTACTTCTGGGATCACAGATGCAATAGGTGGTGTTTTCGGCTTCAGAGGAGAGGTGATTGGTGGCAAAGGGCAGCTGACTTCATTGTCATCAAAAGTGACCCAGCTGGGGAAACGAGCAGAGGTCACTGGAGTGGCAGGATGGCCGTTCATGGCTGGACTGCTAACCTGACAGGTGATGGCCTCCATCTCTACCTCTTCATCTTCCTGAAGAGAGGAAGAATTGTCTACAAGGAAAAGGAGAACATGTGAGGGGCTGCTATTCAAGGCCTCTAGAGATATGGGAATGAGGGATGACTAGAATTTTATCTGGAATCCAGTGAATTCCAAAGCAGCTCATCACCTGTCTCAAGTGCTTGGTTTTGTAAGAAGCACACCAGTAGGGCCATACGTTAAATGTAGTAAGAATACAAATGGGTCTGTCAATACAGAAGTCCCACTAGGACCCAGGTCCCTGGCAATTTAACTCTTATACATTCTCCCTTTATTTCACAGAAGTTTCTCGAAGAGAGTTGCTACAAACTCTCTAAAAATGGTTTGGCAGTTTGTACTAAGGGTCTTACAAATGTTCATGAACAATGACTTGTAGTCTCCCCCTAAGGAAATAAATCCAAATTGTAAACCAAGTTTTGAGGGACTGTTCAGAAATTCAGGCATACAATGGAATAATACCCAGCCATTAAAATGTGAAATAAATAACATAAATCCGTAAAAAAGTATGTAGTAAGATAAGAAAATGCTCATGAAATTAATTTCTTCTTTTTTCTCTAAAATACTTCCATCTTGGGGTTTATTTATTTTATGGAAGAAAAAAGATTATTACAAATAAAACTCCACCCGAGCAGGGCCTTCAAGGAAGGAGACACAGGACTTGAGTTTCGATGCAGGAAAGATCCAAACCTTTTCAGTAAAGAGTCTGTGCGTCAGCCGGGGTTATGGGCAGGGAAGGGGAACGAAGTCCTTCAAGTCAAGGAGGAGCGGATTCTGATGAAGTGGCACAGGAAACACATAGGTGTCTGGCATATAGTACATACTCAGTAAAGGGTTGTTGACTGAATAAGTGAGAAAAGAAACTTTGCTTTGGAGTAATTCTTCTATTCTGTCTCTGGAGGAATGTGTATGGGGATCTCTGCCACTATTCCACCCAGGGTTTCTACTGCCAGAAATTTGGAATCAAAGAGAAATGGATATGCAAATGGTTAAGTCAAATGGTTGAGTTTTCAGACCATCCTGCTTAACCTTCATGAATATCATATCCAACCACACCAAATCAGCAATGTCACACAGAACTGGACACATAATGACACATGGGTGGGATGGCTGGCTTGTCATCCATCTTTCAAAGAATATTTATTCAAACAAATAGCAATTAGCTCTACTGAAAATCGTCATTCTGAAAATGTAGACTAAATACATGAGCATGCATGCGTACATGCCCACACTCACCCCAGAAATATAATAAGCAAAAGGTATTTTCTATATGTACAGCACCACAAAAGAACTTCACAGCATTTTAAAATGAAAGATGAGACTCTTCTTCAAATTAATCATTAATCCACTTTTGTAGATGCATACATGATTTATCTTCTAGAAAATGGAGGGAAGGGGTCAGGAAACAACCTAGATTTGCAGTACTTATATATTTTTATTATTACTACTACCACCATGACGGCGTGCGTTGTTGTTGTTACTGTAATGAAGACTACAGGGAACAGTGTGGCCCGGAGTAAAATATAATCACTTCCTTGGAATGGTAACTAATCCTCCCCAGAGAACTGGGAGAGGGGTGTATCTCAAAATGCATCACTTTCTAATAAGGCAGCTCCACGGAGTTTTTGTAAGCAGTGTTTCCACCCAAACAGTCTGGCACTGACCCATCCCTTGTACCAGGGATCTCCTTTTTGCCTTGGAGCTGATTGCCACTCCCTAGTTTAAAACGTGCCCTGAGTCCTTTTCCTTTGGAGGGTGGCTTTCTGCCAAAGCTGCTTATTCTTGCTGCCAAAGGATTCTCTTCTGTTGGGAATCTTGCCCCCCCCCCGCCCCCGCCCCAACAGCACTTCTCATCTTCCTCTTCTAAGCCAAAAAAGAAGGGGAAAAAAGGCCTTTGTCTGCTTACAATAAATCTGTTTTTAAAGCAAGTTACTTGAAACCATACCAAGTTCTAGACAGTTTTGAAGCATTAGACTCATAACACAATTTAAGTGCAGTGTCTTTAAATTTGGAGGGAAATTTTCTGAATTTGTTTCTAAAGAGTCTATATTCTCTTTGACAGCCATTAAAAAGTATTGGAAAACTTTGTTACCAAATTACCTCTCCTTAGGCAGTTTCATCTTCCATGATTACAAACTGCTTTAAAAATCCATCCTTTGGGATGGTAGTGGGATATAGGTCAAATTTCTGAAAATGAGAACTTGTTTTTCTACAAAATCATACTTGCACATATAATTACACAAAAGAAATAAAAAATATCTTAAGACACTTTTATAGATGAAAAGCAACAGTGGTCCATAGTGCACATAGGTCATAGTGGTTCGTATTTTCATAGAAAAATAAAGCATTTCTTGAGGTGAACCCAAGCACTGCCAAATACTACTTTAAAAAAAAATCCCCTATTAATATTGAATTCCCTATTTGTGAGCTCTTAATTCTGTTTCTTTTATCACTGAAGGACATCTTCAATTGTTTTTATAAAGGTTAGGTCATATATTTTCTGAGCCTCCTTTCATTAAAGGATGTTCTTTGAGACTTTCACATATAAAAAGCAACTTACCTAAATGGAAAATTTCTGGGGGAAAACATTTGTATCATATGTGATGAAAACTTGATGTCCTTAATATAGAATGACAGTGTATCCTTAATAAAAATGACTACAAAAAAATAGGATAAAAAACAAAAACAAACAAAAACAAAGCATAAATACAGGACAGAAATAGACTCATGGACAGAGAATACAGACTTGTGGTTACGGGGAGGGGTAGAGGGTGGGAAGGGATAG